ATAGTTAGAAACACACCGCGATGAGGCACGCGACCGCGAGTACGCTGTCTGATGTGAGGCGAATTTTCACTCCAGGATTGAAACTGACACACCTTGTGGTGAATCCAGTGGCCACCGTGTAATTTATCACCCGCGCCACCACGAAGTTCGTTCTAAAATTCAAATCCTCAGCGGCGCACTCAGACGAAATAATCCCGACGCACCGATCGAAATGCGTTGTTCCTTGCTGTAGATAAAAGACCAGCACGAGCGCGATCGCGACGTCCACTACCACCCGGTAGTGAGAATCACGTCCGAACCAACAGGTGGCGGCCGCGACGCACCTACGCCGCCGACAGTGAACACCGCCACGACCTCGCCGACCAGGTGGCTGAAATACGCGACGCTCGCCACGCGGAGGATCTGCGCGGAGATGAGCACCTCGAGCGCGAACGCCACGAGGCACGCGGTGCTCAGCACGCCCGTCAGCAGCCAGTTTCCCTTGCTGAACGTCCATATGCTGCGCGGCTCGGGGTCAACGGAAGAGAGAAGGCGTGGGGCGGGCCTACCGGTGGACGAAGAACGCCTGGCAGACGAGGGTAGCGAGGCCCACGAATATCAAGTGCAGGTCGAGTACGTGCGTCGAGACGAGCAGCGCGGCGGAGTCGCCCCAGCTCGTGACGAGGTAGTGGTAGCACGCCTGGGAGATGAGCACGAGGTGGGCCGCGTCCAGGATCCTGGTTTTATTCAGAGCTGGTTATGCGCCCGCGGATTCGGATAGACTTGCCATACGGCCGCGACCTAGCGAATATTAATGGGTGAGTATCTGCGCGTCGGGATTTTATCCTCACACACCAGTAATTTGAGCCGCCGCAGGTCGTCGGGGAAGCTTTCGTAGTATATGTAGGCCTGCACAGTTAACACACCTTGGAAACTGGATTGCGTGAGCATATATTCTCCACAGTTGGGTGAACTTACAAGGTGGCAAATAAGACTAGATATCGGGTGAGCCCACGTCAGCTGCAGCGAGCGGGTACGCTTACCGCCGATGAAAATGGCCCCGTATGTCATATCCATGGTGTTCCCCATCTTCAGAGTCGGAGGGACTGAAGTGACTACGAACGAAGAAGTCGAGACGCGCTCGGCGTATTTAAGAATACCTGTGGAAATTCGAAGGCACCTGTGGAACCGTCCGCTTCGGATGTAAGCGAGGCGGCATCGAGTGCTATGATTTTCACTTGGAACGTATTGCCCACAGGCGCGTAATGAGTCGCACATGTCAGTTGAAAGAGTGAATCGGGCGGGGCCCACTTCAATCGTGACTCCTGCTGAATTTTGTCCAGTACACCAATGGCGATAAAATTCAGGCGCCTTGAGATGTTACCCAGCCCAGGACCACCTCGTGAGCCCTGCGGTGGGAGGCAACGTCCGAATAGAGATTTCAGGACGCCCATTGGCGCCGGGCGCCCTGAAATCTTGAAATGGGACCTCGCGTGCGAGAAGGCCAAGGGCGAAGTGGAATTCCAAGGAAGCCCCCGTGCCAAACTGGCTCGTAAACTCCCAGGATGGCCTTCATGAGCGTCGCGTGCCAAAAGGCTAAGGACGAATCGGTGGAGTTCTGTGAGAGTCGCCTCGGGAAAGTGGCTCCGGAGTGTGGAACTGATCTTCCCAACTTTGGCCGTGGTGCGCAAACGAGTGACAAAGTTTTGGAGGCGGCTGAGACGTCGCCGAGCAGGAGCTGGTGCCAGGAAGGAATCCGAACGATTTCAAAAGGAAGAGCGTAGCGTGTGACATTTTGCCATGGGAACGGCAAGCCGATGACATGCCGGTAGATGCCGGTCCGAGTTCCTCACCTTTTTCACCTGAATATTATCATGATGCAGGGTGCCTAAACAAGGCTTATTTATTTCTAGGGAGTGTATATGAATCTAAAAAAGTGTGATGTCTACGGTGTACTCCAAAACAATGGTTGAAAATATATTCGGCACTAAACGGGGACTGCAGGGACTGATCGAGGGCCACTGCAGCGCACCAGTGCCTTACATCACCAGCGTCACCAAGGGGTGCGAATCGTCCATATTCTCCAGTGCTATATGCTTGGTCTCGAAGGGCGCCAAGCGGAGCAGCCGGCCAGGATGTGCGAAATTGAGTGTGAACAGAGCGAGGACAACCATCCCGCCGTCGAACACGACGAAGTACACTTCCGTGCGTATGACGCTCCCTTCCCAGCCTCCAACCAATTCCACGATTCGGTAAACCGAGCTGCGGTTGAAGTCCTTGTGTGAGTTCCCTTGCAAAAATTGTCCCGCATAGAAACACATACCGGACGATTAGCACCGCGGTAGAAAATGCGAGCGCGGCGAGCATGAGTTTCAGGCGCGGGGTCAGCACGCCGCGAGCCCTCGAGTCCGGGCGCAGGGGTCGGTCACGCAGGTAGCGCCGCATGTAATCGCACCCCAGCGTGGAGAACACAATGATAGCCACTGGAAGACCCTTAGCGTGTAGGAATGCATTACGGGATCCGAGGCGCACCGAATTGAAAGCAGATTCCCCCGAGCATGACATGTGCACCCTATGCGATGGGTTAATAAGGGGACGGGTATAAAGCGTGTTTCCAACGACGTACCACGTTTGCACCTGCGAGGGTGTCTGCGCTTGACGCCATTCCACCGCCAACACCCTGCACCACAAGCGCTATCAGGTCCTGCGTAAAGGTTGAGTTTCCGGTGGACTCCAAGGCTGAAGAATTTACGCAGGGAAGAAATAATCTTGCGTCTGCGGAAAGATTTACATTCAGTAACACATCCAGGTAATAATTCCAGGGACGTACACCACCTCGGCGTGAGTAACGAGTATGACTGGCCGAGCTGCTGGATCATGCGGGAGAAGATGATGAAGCTCGCGGCCAATAGGGGCGTCGGTGCTATAATCGTGGAGGTTATCCTTAACAGAGTCAATATGCCACGGCCACTCGGATACTCAGACAAACTTACTGGATAAGAAACGGCGTGTCCGCAGGGCGTGATAGACGACCACAGTCGACCACTCCATCCAAGAAGCTCCCCAACTCCGCAAAGAGCCGCCGTAGGAAGGAGCCACCACGTCCGGTAGTATGCTGCCTGCGTGATGTGGAGGGCTGGGCGCCGGGAAAGTATGATAATTTGAGCGAGCCATGGGATTCCAGTGCTTACTGGTGCTGATCCCGAACAAGGCCAAGAAAAAAATGCCTGTGCTCTCCGTAGGTATATATCCGTATTGCGCGTCGGCTGCGGCTGTTGCGTTGTCCCGCAACGCGATGCGCGAAACAGAAGCTAGAGGGAGAACAGGACATGAGTTAAAATGACAGAGGCATACAGGGCGACGAAGACAACAAACCTAGAGAAGAGAATGCAGTCATTTGACAGTGGGTCGGAGTAAAAAGAAAAGTGAGGACCACTGTGTTCCACCGACCTGTTATGAAGTTCCGCTTTGCCGGGTGACAATTAATGATGACACAAAATCCCTTGCGGCCCAAGTGTTTAAATTTGTCAACAGCCTCGACACCTCCGTGGCGTGTGCCGCAGCACTGATCCCGGCCAATCGACTAGGTGGGGAAACTGTCGAAGCGCAGCAAGTGGGCTGTGCTACCGCAACCAAGTTGCCACAGGGGCTCCGATGAAGGACGGATTGTCACTCAGTACAATTCAAGTGAGAGGACAGAAATACATCGCGCTCTACTCCTAGCCGAGTAATGGAAAGTATTTGTAGACCTGCACCAGACGGAGTAAAAGGCGGCGAACTGAGTTGGACCAAAGTTGGACGCTTGATGAGCCAGAGTCACCGGTGCTGGCAGACAACGGAATTCTGTTCTGAGCTTCCTTTTTCGGTGGGCGTTTGGGGCGCAAAAATTGAGTAGCGTCGAGTGCCGTCAATATAGAATGTGTAGTGCGCTCACAGTCGAATCTCGCCGGCGGCAGGCGGGCCGCGGGCCGGGCGACGGCCTGCTGACCAATCTCAGTTCAAACTTTTAATATTTCGAACAGGAGGCACGACAAAAAAGCGGGCGGCGGGGATCTAACCGAGTGCTACCGAGGGCCTGTTGAACGCAAAGGCGGGCAGCGCTGTAAACCATTCGGCACAGTGACCGATATGGACACTGCAGTAAATGACACATGTGGCGGTGTCTCGATGTGGCCCCGCTCTTTTAAATGTGAGCTGTGTATTTTTAGCTCGCCCTTCTTCTATTCACTGTGATCGTAAAATCGAGTTTAAAGGGGAGTTTACACAAGGCTAATCGTCGAGTAAGCAAGATTACTCCGATTCCCTTTTACAACCTCCCCCTCACGCTCTTTCCTCTAAGGCTGTAAACCCTCTATGGTTGTAAAAGAGTACGCTCCTCTCCACCCCAAGGGTTTGAAGCGAGAGTCGAAGCAGTGAGTGCTCCCATTTCCTCGCACTTGTCCCGATGATCCTTACTCGTGACCGAAGTTTATGTTCACACTTCACACTAGTCGCCGGAAGCTCGCCGACGGCTTACATATACCTGGCAAGCAGTGGTGCGCCTCCTTGGCTTATCTCACTGCTCTGCCAGGTGCGCCGTTACTGGATTTATTCTCTAGGCTGTATCTCATTGCCTTGCCAGAGTGTAGCACGATCATTTTCTCGTTACCCGCCCTATTTTTGAGTACATACACGTTCCGCATCATGTATTCCCTTCCCTAGTTTGCGTAGTTACGGCCATCCAGAAACGGCCCATCGACGCTCTCCCATGGAGAGCGGTTGATTTGGCTAACCCTCTCTCTCTTTCTCAAGTATTCGATGCGTGCTCGAGACGATTGGTCCTCTACACATGATTTCGGTGTGATTTTAATTTGGAGCCCTCGTACTATTATTATTAGTTACTGTATGCATGAAGTTGCAAGAATTGATCCGTGGGCACTGCCACAAGAATGCGAAGACACATTATTGCGACGACAGTGCAGTGGTTCGGAGCTTCGGGCTGGAAAAGAGAACTGTCCACGAAGGAGAGGAAAGCAAAAATATTCCAAATCGGGGAATCGAACCCCGGGCTGCCGCGAAGCATGCAAATCTGAGAGGCGGCAATGTTAACCCCTACACCAATTTGGACATGGAGATGGGTTGCGGGAAGGAAGTCTCGACCTACCTAAGGAACGAAAAGCCAGAGTGGCGCTCTAAGGACTGAATTTGTTCGCGAGGACGGACCGGCGCTCCGGGTTTCGACGTTTCGTTTTGGTGCGTCCTGAAGCTTTCCCCAAATGACATGCAGGCCATCCGCGATGTTGCTGCGAAGGCGGATGCAGCGCAAGGGGAGCGGTACCCTCCCGCGATGATGGCGCAGATGTTTGTTGAGACGCCGGCGTTGTGAATCCACCTACCGGCCCTGCAGATACAATTAATGTTTGACGCAATGGAACGTTCCGCAGTGAAATATTTCAGTCACTCGTTGACTACCAGGGCTTCGTGATACGGTTTCGAACTGGATAGAGCTGATCATGTAGGTTCAACTTTGGCATTCGCTACTTACTATTGCCAAAGATAGCGACAGAAACATACGGTAACGACCACACTCTCTTCAGCGGTAAGAATGCCATTCACGTCCACATTTGGGATCAGGTTCGATACCGTTTGCAGCAGACCGTTCGCAGGCCGCGGACTGAAATAAAATCCTAAATGACTGGGCATGGAAAACTGAATGCACCCTATTCACTCCGGAATTAATGGTATTAAGTGTCCTCGTCACGCGAGGTTACGGAAGGTATATGTTACACCGAAACCCATACTTTTCAAGCAAGCCCACGCCGGTCATGTCCATCCACTTCCTCCATCCACTCCAACTGCTCATGCAGCGACAGTAAATGGCTGGCCCGTGTATCCTCGTGGACTATTCTCGCCGATAAGGTTGAACGTTGAGCGGTCGTACGGGTTCAGCGGTACGTCCTTCTCGAGGCGCGTCGGCAGGTCCGGCTGTGAATTTAATTCAATTAAACAATTCAAGTTCATGATCAGTGCACCGCGATAATAATAGACGCACATTGGCGATGAAGAACCGTCCAAACGCGATCAGGGCGCCGGCCTCCGCCGCCGTGAGGGCGCCGGCACGCGAAAACCCGCCGGCACGGATGAGCGGGCGCGGCGCCCATAGCGCGAGCAGCCCGTCGTTCAGCTCGTGGGCCCCAACCTGTGATTCGTCGCGGGCCGCATTGCCGTTTATGCGCGCCTCGATGAGGTGCACGTATGCGAGGTCCGGATGGCGGGCGGCGAGCGCGGATATAACATACGAAAAGGTCGGGATGGGGTCTATCATACCCATGTCTAGGGCGTGTTAGAATTCAGTCGAGGATGCAGGGAGGAAGGGGAGGAGCATGAGCGCACCCTGGAATAGACTCCACGGGCTGAAGCGAATGCCGGTCTTCTCTACGCCGATGGCTGCGACCACTGCGTCGACAACCTCGAGGGTGAAGCGCGCGCGATTTTCGATGCTGCCGCCGTACGCGTCCGTGCGCTTGTTCGACACATCCTGCAAGAATTGGTCGAGAATGTACCCGTTTGAGTCTGGCCATGGGAATTAGCATGAAGAGATTGAATCCAGCACAAGACGCACTGTGAACCTCGACGCCATCGAACCCCGCGGATATCGCATTCTTCGCCGCCTGCGCATACAGAGCGATGTACTCGTTTATCTCCTGGACGGAGAGCGGCCGCGGCGGCGTATCCCGTCCTGTCAGCTGTACGTCCGACGCCGAGACGTAGGGAAACGAAGCGTCCTCGGATATCAGCTCTGCAGGATCCGCCGTGCGCCCGAGCGCATAGAGCTGCATGAAAATGAACGAGCCCTTGGCGTGTACAGAGTCGGTAACCTGCGTCGGCGTTAGCATGTAGTAGGCCCCGCGAAAGGCGGCAAACGCACGACTTTCCAGGCGTCGATTTGCCCCTGGCTTCAGATACCCGGGACGTGGGCCTCTCCGCCCACGCGCGCCGTAATGAAGGTGGCTTCTGTAATGAGGAGCGTTCCGGGTCGGCTGGCGCGCTGGCTGTAGTAGTCGGAGACCAGGGGGAGATATGGGACGTGGTTGATTTCGGCCTTATACCGCGTCAGCGGTGCCAGAACGACGCGGTGCTTCAGCGTGGTGGTCCCGATTTTGAAAGGCTGAAATAGTTGGGGAGACATGAAGAGGAGGAGGGTGAGGAGGAGGAAGAATTAAGATGGCTGATATTTTGCATGTCCCCCTGCTTTGGCTACCTTTAAGTACTGTACTATTCAGACAAAGTGTTCACACCATGTTACGCGTTACGCCAACTGTTCACTTTCTTCGTATTCTATGCTGTAGTGAGGCACGAGCGGAGGTAAAGAATTAAGTTTTTGTTCGAGAGGAAGTCATGGGACAGCTCCGCTTTCGTCCCGCCAAAATCATCGCGGCCGACCCTCCTCAGAGGCTCTTCATAGGCAGAGCGCTGAGTCGTCCTCTCCTTTTATTTTTCCCACCCACCCTCACCTGCTTCTCAAGATAACCTCAAGATTGTTCCTGTCTTGAATTTCAGTGTCCTACGGTAGTCTGTTACGATATCTTCTCTAAGTTACCACTACCATACATATCATACGGATCCCTATGAGCTATGATTGGACGTGTTCAAAAAAGGCTCTGGATTGGTAACCGGGTGAACGACCACATGGTATGTGTCATGCAAGCGGCGGGTCACAAACAGATGTTTGTGACCCGCCGCTAAAATTGGCTAGGAAGCCGAAGCTGAGTGAGAACTGGGCATAGAAATCGTGCTTCCTAAGCTCAGGGATGCGGCGGCCTTGATGTCGGTCTTTACATGGCCTGAAGGGCGGGAAAATAACGAAATTTGGCCCAAAATGTGGATTCCTGTTCCATTCCGGGCGGGTTTATTATAAAGACCTCGGTTACAAACTGAAGATTGAAATTGTTTATAGTCCTCCGGGGAATTAGACACGGAACCCATGTAAGGTGGAGGTCGGGGTACACCGTGAGAAGTACTTTCTCACGGGTTCACCCGGGTCCCGAAATACGACGTACTACCGTAATTTACAACCTCTTGATTTCCTGCCGGACTCGACGCCTGCAGCAAATGTGTATACATAGTAGTGATCCGAATCGTCGGTGAATCGTACTCGCCAAGTGGCCGCACCGAAAGAAAAATAGTGTGCCGGTTTGCCCTTGCAATTCCAGGGTGGATTGTCCAACGGGCGGTGCGAGGAGATTGGTGGGAGATGGTTCACTCGTTGAGGGAGAGACGGTGGAGGCGCGTGATCAGACGCGCCAATGTGCGGATCGCACTCGACAGGACACGTAATACTAACTGCCCACAATTGGACGCCCTTCGGGGTGCATGTGCATTGGGCGGGGGCGCGGCGAGTTTGCGAGGGAAAGGGGCAGGGGCAGAGGCATGAGTTGGCGCTGTGCTGGCGACGGCGAGAGGGCGCGCGGGAATGCGCGCGGACGGCGGGCCAATGGGCGAGAGGCAGGGGCAGGATCCGGGATCAATCAGCGATGATTGATGTGGTTGTGACATGCTGTGACACACGGCGGCGAGCGAGGCGGGAGGCGGCGAGCGGGAGGGCTTGATGGACGGGTGACATGGGGAGGGGTGTGGTTTGATCGGGGAGTGGGGTGTCAGCGGGGACGGAGCCGATGACGTGCGGGGTGGTCGATCAACGTCGGCAAGCGCTCGATCAACGACAGGGGTTGATGCGCGCGACGAGAGTGTCCCGGTGTGCCGGCGGCGGCGGCAGTGGGGTGTACGTATATGGTGCTAGGCGTAATATAGATGTGTCCCGCCCCGCGCGCCCTTTGGCTCTGGGTAAATGCTTGGTTCCGCCCCCCGGCCCCGCCCCTCCCGCCCTTCGCTCCGCTCAAGCACGGATGAGAGGGCGCGCGTTGATCGCAGTGCTCAGACAAGGACGCGTCCCGGCGCTCATTGATCGTTGCGCTCAGAAATAGACGCGTCCCGGTGCTCAACACGCACCCGACATGTCCCTCGTAGTTATACTGCCCACCCCGCCGCACCCGTGCACCCCGCAGGTGTCGGGCGGGACGTCCTCTGGACGCACCCCCTCGCTGATGCTCGGGGGCGCATACCTCGGCTCCGCCTCCTAGTGCATTGCTCATTTGGCGGCAATGTTAACCCCTACACCAATTCGGACATGCTGAGATCCGGAGATACGACGCTAACCGTGGAATGCGACATGTCGAAGAGAAACGAAAAGTCAACAACAGAATTCAGTCTTGTCACGAGGGTGGATATTATGACTTGTGAGCTCCATGCACATTCGATCACTGTTTTTCATACCCACGTTGACAGGGGAACATCCTAACTACCGGATAGTGGAAAGAACCATGACATTCTCAGCGGGACCGGCCGTGTAATTCTACCTACCTACCTACCTACCCGCTTGTTTTGGTTGTGAAGAGATGTTAAGCCAATTTGGCCTAACGCAGTTTTGTTCGATCGTTTTCAAAGCGGCAACCGGGGAGGGTACGTGCACTATCATTCATCATAACTAAAACCAGATCGTCAATCCTTGTCATGACCCTCCATTGCGGAGCAACTTCTGCCCACACCCCCATCGTCACCAAACGAGAACCCTTCTGTCCCTACGGGACGGAATTGGACGCTTCCAGCGTCCTCGACCTCGTCTAGCTCGATCGACCGGTGCTTTCAAAGTGGAGTGTCAATATTCAGCGTCGCAAAGCAAATGAATGAATGTACCGCGGGGGCGACACTCTTTGGATTCCCATTTCCGCGGAGGATATGTGCAAACCGTTCGCGCGCATTCAACCTGCAGAATATCAGGCCGGCAAAAATTCTACGAAGATCGGACACCCAACGAGAGTAGCAGCGAGTTGGAAAACACTGGGGTACCCGATTCAGAGAGGTGCTCTTATTCGAGTCCGATCCGACGTACGTTTGGGCATGACGACAAAAAAGCCGAGATAAATAACTGAGAATCAGGAGGTCAGTTCGATACGTGTGTGGCCGTCTGGAGGCGTACAGTTGTTGTTCATGGTAAGAAACTTGGAGAACGTTAAATATAGTGCCAACCCCCTACCCATTCTTACCGTAATCAGGAGCCCGAGTGCCCC